CAGGTGAGCACCCCCAGCTCTCCCAGCCTGGCTCCAGAGCAGAGGGGCCATGGAACTGCCATGGAATTGGGCACACCAAGGCTGTATGAAGCTGCTCCCAAGGGTGATTTAACTTGTTTTGGGGGCTGCTCCTTAGATCCCAAGTCTGGATCCGCATGAAACACATGGAAAATAAACTTCTGCCCAACTCTAATACTTCAGTGCTTTTGCATCCTTAATATTCCAAGGGAAGTTTGAGCTCCAGCTGCCTAAAATCCCAGCTGTGCCTGCAGCAGGTGAGGCTGGGGCTCTCACAGGAACAATTCTGGAGCCAATTTACCAATCTATGACTGACTGGACAAATACACTGAGGGGTGGCCAAGGAGCAACACCATCCATGCCAAGGAGTGGGACAGATCCACATTTTCTTCCACATCATATTCCTAGGACAGCACCTGAGTGTGAATGAGCAGCCCAAGATAAAGGAGATAACCCAAACTCAAGTCTGAGTTCAGATACAGCCCCAACTTCAAACACAAAGCAGAAATTCTCATTCTTAGTGTTTTATTGCAGGGATTTCAATGCTCAATAAATCCCTAGCATTGCTGTTGAAATCCCTGATCATCAGGGCTGTGGCCAATGACCTGATCAATAACCATTATTTGGGATTCTCTCATTGATAATCATCTCTGACCCTTCTTTCCAGGGCAGTGGTGGAATCCTCAATCCCTGGAAGGATTTTAAAGCCCTGTGGATGTGGCACTTGGGGACAAGGGTCAGTGGTGGCCTTGGCAGTGCTGGGGGATGGTTGGACTTGATCTTGGAGGGCTTTTCCAACCTAAACTATTTTGTGACTCTGTGAATTTGACCTGTGTCCCTATTATGGACTCCTCCCTTTTTCCCCTCTTCCAGCTGATCCCTGAGTTCACTGAGCAGCCCTTTCCCAGAGAGAGAGAGGGATTTTATTCTCCTGAAGAACCACTCTCATCATTTTCTCAAGTGCTCTGCCACCTCACACAAACAATAAATCCTCCCATCCCCGAGAACAGATAAAATTGAAATCTTTGTCATAATAAAACAACCTGCTGGTAAAGAGACATCATTTACAACAATCCAGCACTAAATTGCTTTCCCCAGCATTAATCCATTCAGCTGATGTTTGTTATTCTGCTAAAGTGGTGCCACGTTCGACAGAGAAATTGTCATAAGGAGAGAAATATTAACAATAAAATCCCACATAATATTCCAGAATTAGACACGTGAGCTCATGGAGTGTCTGTTTTCCAGAGCATTGGCTGCCTCTAGCCATGGTTAATATGGACAATTATTACCAAAAACAGGGAAATCTTTTCAGTTCAAGGTTTCACATGGTCTTGTAGTACCAAAAATAAAAAGCTTACTTCCCTTAATTATTACTACTTTAGTAAGGAAACTGAATAAATAAATAATTTAAATAATAAATTTAAATAATTAAATTAAAACTCAGAGGGGGAAACAAAATAGTAAAAAAAAAAAGGAAGAAAATAACCATAAAAGCAAAATAAGCCACCCATATTATAATTTAAAACTTGAAAACATTAATGTGATTTTAAACTATTCATGAAGTGATTTGCATAATCCTCAGTACTGGTGAAGTGAGTACAGCTTTGGAGTTACAGAGGGAGCTTCCAGAGGCATTCCTAAGAGGAAAAAAAAAAAAAAAAAGGAAATACAAGGATACACACTCACATTCCCAGAAAAAAAAAAAGGTCTTATTTGAACATAATGGGTATTGCATAGGAGTGTTTAAGCACTGAAGACATTTGTCACTTTTTAATTGCTAATTTGCAAAACAAAAACAAGAATAGTGATGGGTTTTGACTGCCTCTTAATTGGAATTTCAAAAGGTATTTTAATATCTTTTTTTCTGGATTTGAACTTCACACCCAACCAGATTCAGACAGGAATCTTTAAATGTTCAAGTATCCCTATGAAAAATATTAATCCAACAATTGGGGATTAAATTATAGAATCTATATTCCTTTCCAGCATCCACATCCATTTTCTCCAGCTATTCTCTTTATGGATCCATACTCCTATAGATCCTCTGAACAAGGTTTTTTGTCACCAAGGGCCCTGTGTTTCCATAGGCAACCCTGCAATTTGCATATCCCTAATAAATAGTCAGCATAAGCTGAAATATTCTTCTAAAATAATGAAAGCAAAGTGCTACTCTGATAAGAGAGATAAGCACCCCATGCTCAGAGATTAAAAAAAAATAAATTTGAAATATTCCAAGAAAAGCAGAGCAGAATGGAACCCCAGGTGTTCTCAGGGATGAGCAGCTTTATTGACCAGGTCTCCATTGGCTGCACAGGA